GCCTCGTTGCACTTGTGCCTCCCAACTGTGCTTTCTCTGCTCTCACTCCGCTCCCTCTAACCCGCAAGGCGTGGCTTGCTGAACTAACCCAAACCTATGGACACCGTGTTCCCTCTGTTCACAAAACCATTTTTAATATTTTGACAGGAAAAGTAAAGGTATCAAACAAAAGCAGCTCATTCCAAAGGTAAACGTTCGCGACACCGTCCGAGGCCACCTCCCTGCTTTTGCCTGTCTTGAGAGCGCCTCGCTCAACTTGCCTTCCGGAAAATGGGAGGGGGAGAGGGGGAGGAGGCGCTTTTAACTTCTCCAGCTTTGTAGTCCCTTCCTCTTCCCACCATCACCCCCTGCCCCCCACTCCCCTCCAAAAATAAGTGCTCACGTGGAAATGATTTGGAGCTGTCTTTGGGTTTCCCGGAAGCAGGGCACGTGATGGGGGTAGGGTATTTGCAGAAGCGTGTGGAGGGGAGAAGCAGGCTGGCGCGGGGGAACTGAGCGAGGAGGTGGGCTCGGCCTCATCCCACAGGAGCCTTGGGGTGTGAACAGCACCGCAGAGCTTTTCCTGCCCAGAGGCAATGGGACCCTTCTGTCCTACCCCCACTTTGGGGGTCTTTAGCTACCAGCCACCTCTGGAGGGCGGGACAGGGTGCAGCACCTTCCTGGCCTGTCTGGGAGAGGATGCCCTTCAGCCAGGGAAGCCCCACCAGGAAGGGGGCAACCGTGCGTTGCCAGCAGCCAAGACCCCAGTAGCCGGCCTTGGCCAAAGTGCACCCAGCCTCTGTCTAGTCTCCACACACGGTGTGCGGATGGATCAGGAAGTCTGCAAAAGTGAGAAAAACCCCTCAGTGCATCCAGCGGATGGGACGGTGCTATTCCTCTTGTCAGCTGCTACTAAGTGTGGGGGGACCAGACCAGCCGGATAAGCTCATGCAAAAGTGCAGGAGACTTGGCGGTCCTGGAGCTCGACAGGAGGGAGGTGGCACGCTGGAGCCCTTGGCTTCTGGGCACTCGGGCTGCCAAAGAGGCTGTAATCAGTCCGTCCAGAACCGGCACCATGTGCAGGGTAAAGCCCAGGTTCGGCCCCAGGGCGGTCCCCGCCTCCCGCCAGGCCCACCGTCCCCTACCCTCCAGCAGCCCTGTCCCGAGACTGATCCCAAGAACTGCCCCCCCCCCCCCGGAACACAGTCCTGGCTCTGGGGCATCTACGATGCCTCCCAGTGCCCACTGGGACCCCAAGAGGGCAGGCCAGACCCCCATGTGTCTGTCCTAGAACCTGCTGGACTCCAAGTCGCTGAAGCTCATCATCAGCATGACGCTGCACGATCGCACCACCAAGTCCCTGCTGCACCTACACAAGAAAAAGAAACCACCGAGCATCAGCGCCCAGTTCCAGGTGGGCAGCCTAGAGAGGCCAGAGGTGACGCTAGACTCAACCCGATGCGCTCGTGACTTGGCCACAACAGACCCAACAAATTTTTACCCTAGGGCTTCCTGGCCTCAGCATTGTTTGACATTTGGGGCTGGATCATTCTCCACGGTGGGGTCATCCTGTGCATTCTGGGATGCACAGTAGCATCTTCCAGTTGAGGCAACCAAAAATGTTCCCAGTCATGGCCATGTGCTCTGGAGGTGAGGCAGAATCACCCCTGTTTTGAACCATTGAGTTAAAATAACAGATTAACGTGTTATGATGTTACATCATGTTTCCCTTTTCTCCGTGGCTGCCAGGAAGCTCAGAGGCATTTTTTTTTTTTTTTAAGGG